CTGATCTTTACAGCTTCTCTTCACCCATGCTGTACTCTGTGTTCAATTTGCCCTCACTTTCTCAAATTCATTTGACCTTGCATTTGTTTGGATTGAACTTGAGAAGCCATTTGTTTGACTATCTGTGTACTCTCTTCAGGTCCTTTTCGTGTCCTATCCTGTTCTTATTTGTCTCATTAATTTTTCATCATCTGCAGGGACACGAGGAGACAGTTCCTTCTGGCCTGTCCTGATACTGATTCTTTCTGAACTCTGCTCATTACTTTTTCAGTTGTCATATCCCATCCCATACTGTTACTCTCTGTCTCCAGTCACTGTGGTACTCCCTGACTCACTGGAACAGTCTGCCTTTAAGCCCTGCCTGTTCCTCCGGTTTCTGGATTAATCTGATACGATACTGTATCAAATGCTCTCCTGTATTCTTTCAAGAAGTTATAATCCGCCCAGCCGTGTCGTTCTTGTTTTTTTCTCTATGAGTCTGTCCTATAACTCAAACAAATTTGTTAGACAGAATTTTTCATCCTTAAATCCATGCTGATTTTCTGTGAAGAATCTCTTTCTCTCCAAGTGCTCTGTCCTTTTCCTTATTATCTTTCCACGACTTTTGACAAAATGCTTGTTAGAGATACTGGCCTATAGTTCACTGCCTCTTGTCTCTCCCACATTTACCTTTTTCCAATTTTCTGGTACATTTCTGGGTTGGAGCGATTGGTTGTATACCTGTGTTCCTTCTCTCAGTACTCGTGGAGATAGATGATCTCGTCTCATTGTTTCGTTACATCACTTCTGTTGTGCTGATGGTTACATGCATTTGTTGATCTGGATAACTACAGTTGCTTATACTAACTCACCACATTCTACTGTAAAGATCTCTTTAAATATTTTGCTAAGCTCTGCCATTTACTGTCACCTTCCCATCTTCTTCAACATTATCACCTGGTCCTTCACACTTGTAACATGTGGCTGTAGAGTAACTTTGATTCTGTTTTCACCTTCGATGCTATATCATTTTCAAATTATCGTACCACTTCTTTTTTTTCTTCTAATTCTTCTTCTTCTTCTTCTTGAATATTCTTCAATGATTCTCGTGTTTCATTCTCGGTTTATTGCAGTTTGATTTGTTCTTTATTTCTTTCGAGTTCACTTCCTCCTGTCTCTGGCTCTTCTGTATTCGTTATTGAACCAAAGGCTCTCTCCTCTCTTTAGGCCATCTCTACTTTTCTCACTTAAGTTGTGACTTGACATTGGTTCAGGATGAACCAAAACGTCGTCGTAAGGTTCCTTTCCTAAGTGTGGGTTGTCGGTGAACCATTTCTCCTTTTCTTTCCTTCACTGTCCTGTCTTCCTTGACATAGACTTGTGTTGAGGTCCCCTCAGGTTCGTTCCTTCTTAAGACTAAATCTCTTTTTCAGGCCTCGTGCACAGTATCAACAGTGGTCTTGGCTTTCCCTCTACATATGTTTTTACCAAATAGTGCAGATGTTACCTGTTTCATCTGCAGGTCCCGATACTTTCACCAGGTCTAAGATTTGTTATTCCATCTTAATTTCCTCTCAGTTTCTCCTTCTTCGTTTGAGCCAGACACCACGAGAGCTCTGTACCTCGTATCCTTCCCGTCTTATCTCGTCAGGATTTTCTTTAAGACGTTTCATTCCTCACAGTCTATTACAGTTTCTTCCATCTTCACTTTCATGACCTAAGCGTGAGTCGATTACTAACATCCTTTATTATTTCGATTTGTATCTTTCTGTCATCAGCTGATTGATTGCTATGCTTCCTACTCCCCTCAAGGAAGGTTCCTTGATGTTGGTGAGGGGCTCTTGATTTAGGGAATTGGATCTGTGCTCCAGTTCCCCGAATTAAGCCTGAATGCCTTCCACATCCCCCCCAGGCGCTGTATAATCCTCCGGGTTTAGCGCTTCCCCTTGATTAACATAACATATGCTTCCTACTTCTTGTCTTAGACTTCATTTGCTAATTCCCTCTCTTTCTTGCCTTTTTCCCGTCAGTTTCAGTTTCAGCCATCAGTTTGTGTGTGTGGTGTGTGTGTGTGTGTGTGTGTGTGTGTGTGTGTGTGTGTGTGTTCATGTATAGGGTAGGAATGAGTTTGTAGCCACATCGTGGGTCGCCCCCCATTCCTCCCTGACACCCTACCAAGGTCGCTAATTAGTAAAATACCTACTTGGTCCCTGGGTAGCCACGGGGAGTTGTCAGGTGTGGGAACACAAGCATGTGTGGCAGTCCTCTCTTACCAAACTGAAATAAATTCTTTTATTAAAATAAGTTATTGAAATTTGGTTAATTTTTGATTTTTAATAAGTTGATGAGGTTTGACTTTAGTTATATATATATATAATATATATATATATATATATATATATATATATATATATATATATTTTATATATATAATGTGTGTGTGTGTGTGTGTGTGTGTGTGTGGGGTTTTGTGTGTGTGTTGTGTTTGGTGTGTGTGTGTGTGTGTGTGTGTGTGTGTGTCTGTCTGTCTGTCTGTCTGTCTGTGTCTGTGTCTGTGTCTGTGTCTGTGTCTGTGTCTGTCTGTCCTGCCGAATAGGTAAAACGTGCGATTTTGGCTTAAATAGCAACGCTCTTGTTCCAGAATAAGACAAGCGAAAATTTGTATACGTAATAATTTCGCAAAAATCATTCTGAACCTAACGAAAAAAATATATTTCATTGTGTTTGTTTATTATTAAATTATTGTAAACTTATCTAAAATATATTTAGTTGGATTAGGCTCAATTAAATTGCACTTGTTATAATAAGGTTAAGTAAATTTTTTAATTTTTTTTTTGGTACTAAGTTATTCATTTTTACAGTAACATAAATGAAAAAAAAATATATCTTTAAACGTATATCTTTAAACAAGCGATACAAAATGCAAAACAACCACGGGGAAGTTGAGTCATAGCTCTAGACCTTTCGTGTATTGCAATCACATTAGGAGCTTTCAGCGTTGTAGAAATGAGTAAGAATTCCTGGAAGATCCGTTCGAGGGAAGGACTCTAGCTAGATAAACATGGATCTTTAGCAAAAATCACCAAATATGGATCAATTACAATACACGAACAGCGACTATCTGTATAACAATAAACATGGACCAACTACAACACATTAAACAGGATCCGTCTTCAGCAATGACTTGCCTCTTCCGAGGTACAGAACAAAAAAATGAAGGTGAAACAGGAACAGCAGGTGAAGGGATGCTTGCTCCTAGTCATATTTCGCTCGTTCCCATTTAGTTATAAGCTTAACCCTCTACCATTTAATTGTGACTTTTTCTGGCCTTCTACATCCTGACTCCTGTCTCATAAATTTGCCTTTGATGTGAACTCTAATAGGTCCTTACTGACCATTCCTGTAGCTGGTTCAAGTCTTCTAGTAGCCAAGCTGTATAGCCCTTGTGGCTTAGCGCTTCTTTTTGATTATAATAATAATAATAATAATAATAATAATAATAATTCTAGTAGCCACTTGATGGACCATTCCTGTAGCTGGTTCAAGTTTTCTAGTAGCCACTTGATGGACCATTGTTGTAGCTGGTTCAAGTCTTCTAGTAGCCACTTGATGGACCATTGTTGTAGCTGGTTCAAGTTTTCTAGTAGCCACTTGATGGACCATTGTTGTAGCTGGTTCAAGTCTTCTAGTAGCCACTTGATGGACCATTCCTGTAGCTGGTTCAAGTCTTCTAGTAGCCACTTGATGGACCATTGTTGTAGCTGGTTCAAATCTTCTAGCCACTTGATGGACCATTGTGTAGCTGGTTCAAGTCTTCTAGTAGCCACTTGATGGACCATTGTTGTAGCTGGTTCAAGTCTTCTAGTAGCCACTTGATGGACCATTCCTGTAGCTGGTTCAAGTCTTCTAGTAGCCACTTGATGGACCATTGTTGTAGCTGGTTCAAGTCTTCTAGTAGCCACTTGATGGACCATTGTTGTAACTGGTTCAAGTCTTCTAGTAGCCACTTGATGGACCATTGTTGTAGCTGGTTCAAGTCTTCTAGTAGCCACTTGATGGACCATTCCTGTAGCTGGTTCAAGTCTTCTAGTAGCCACTTGATGGATCATTCCTGTAACTGGTTCAAGTCTTCTAGTAGCCACTTGATGGACCATTGTTGTAACTGGTTGAAGTCTTCTAGTAGCCACTTGATAGACCATTGTTGTAGCTGGTTCAAGTCTTCTAGTAGCCACTTGATGGATCATTCCTGTAACTGGTTCAAGTTTTCTTATAACATGTACTCTTCCGATATGTTCAAATATTCCTCACTAATGTTGCGTCATTCGCAAGCATTGACACACACGAGTCTGTTGCAGTGTGTAGATTGTTTACATATCTGAGGAACAAAATGAATCTTAAGAAATGAACCTCTTGGTACTCCTATTGTTACATCTCTCCCTCCTGACACCTCTTAGTGTAATCCCTCCTGACACCTTTCAATGTAATCCCTCCTGACACCTCTCAATGTAACAGTGTATATATTGGTGGTATACTATATTAAGACGTAGATGAATAAGACACATGTGCAACACTTGGATATTTTTATTGCCGAAACGTTTCGAGGCAAACATTATGGGTATAATTCATGTAATTTTAAGGTGCTGTGCCCCTCACTCTTTATAGGAAGTGGTCAGTACGCCTATAAAACATGAGGGACTAATTACTTCAAAATTATTTCTTTTGCTGTCTGTACTGTTATATTCATCTGTATTCGACTGAAGAAGCCTGCAGCGCAGGCGAAACGTTTCAGCAGTAAGATACAAAAGCATACTGGCTCTGTCACTGGTGGTGGGGTTTCCCAGAGTATATATAGCTCTTGCGATGGACTGTATGAAATACCCTGTGTCTGTCCAGGAATATGTAGTCCTCCCATCCTTCAGACAAATTTTAATTATAAATCCAACTGTACGCCTGTTAATACTTTTGGGACCTGGTGTCTATGCCTTTTCTGTATCCATATGCTCTTGTTCTACCGTCCACAGGATGGATATGAGGTGCATAATTAACTAGCCACTACCATACATAGGATGGATATGAGGTGCACAATTAACTAGCCACTACCATACATAGGATGGATATGAGGTGCACAATTAACTAGCCACTACCATACATAGGATGGATATGAGGTGCACAAACTATCAGCTTTGACGAGAAAAATGTACAAATCCTTTCATTCCCGTCTGATCCTTGTCATCTAGTCATGG